TTTTAACCAGTTTTGGGCTCAGATATCAATTTTTGGAAGCATACATATTATGTCCGTAACATTACTTTTCTTCAGATTCCTCATAATTTTATTGTCAGATGAAATTTATGTAAAGTCCTTAGTATCAAATCAGCCATAAAAACATCCTGTGTCCCTGGTAACGAGCCAAAACAGAATGGAAATGTTCATGAATGCCATGTTATTTAGTTAGTTAGTAGTATAGGGTTTTACGGCGCTCGCAACTGCGTAAGGTCATATGAGCGCGCGAAACACAAGTTGTTTACTTTCGCAAAAGTTCACTGCACGATTGGTTAACTATTTGACTTTAAAATGCTAAAATATTCAAATTCGGTGTAAATATACTTTCAATTTAAAACAACTCTTAAAATTAACAATAACAATTGTAAGTAGTACGATTTCACTTTACAATTTGCCATAAAGGCCCCATGTTATTTGAGGGGCTAGGCGAGTCAAAACACTCTCTCTATTTTTCTACTCGTTTTTGTTTTGTTTTTTGTTTTTGTTTTTCAAAATATTGTCTTCAAATTTTGCAAGGATGCAGTTTAACATATTATACAATTCACTGAGGTATTATATTTTAGCAAAATGTTCATGTTATTTTCTTTCTGTCGGCTTTACTTACCCTATCCCTAACATCTTGAGGGTCTTCTGAGTTTGGAAGATACACTAGCGTTTTATAAAAGTACATATATTATTGGTCAGTGAATGGAAGTTATATGTCCACAGGATAATTTCGAAACAAAAATGGACTTATCAGGTCAACCCAAAAAAAATTATTAGCAAAATGTATCATCCACCCCCCAAAAAGGCATAAAATCCAATATGGCCGCAGTTTCTATGGCAACGTGAAGATTTTCTCAACTTATTATAGTTGACATTCTATCAGCATGACCCAAGGTATGTAAGAATGCTTGTTCCAAGCGATTTTTCTCAATATTAAGAAAAATAGGCCCCAGAAGTAGCCTGCCAACGATGCATCACTGTGTTGTACAGTTTTTAAGTTTTAGTAAGAGTTTTACGGCACAATAAGGTCAAATAAGTGCCGACGAATTGATTGTTGCTTTAGTAGAGGTTTTACGGCGCTCTCAACCGCACAAGGTCATATGAGCGCCAGAAGATTAGAGGTGTTGCAAGAGAGTAACAAACATAAAAAAGGAAGTGAGATCATAAGGACGATAGATGTTTGATAGGAAAGAAGGAGCAAACCACACCAGAGCACCCGCCAACCACCCACGGAGGAGAGATAAGGACGATATATGTTTTATAGGAAACAAAGAGCAAAGCACACACAGAGCACCCGCCAACCACCCACCTTTTACAGTTTGAGCAAAGTCAAGCTCATCGACACAACATTGGCCACTTAGCGGAGGGGGAGGGGGGAGGCCAGAAACAACACAGAGAAGGAAAAGAAACAGGGTACACACCAGTGGCACCCTCCGACAACATACACACACAAACACACACACACGCACACACATACACACACACACTCACATACACACACATACACACACACACACATACACACAACACACACAGACATACACACACACGCACGCACGCACACACACACACACACTCACATACACACACATACACACACACTCACACACACACACACACACTCACATACACACACATACACACACTCACACTCACACACACACATACACACACACTCACATACACAAACACACTCACACACACACACACACTCACATACACACACACACTCACACTCACACACACACACACACAAACACAGACACACACACACTTTCTTTCTCTCTCTC